GGCATTTCATGTTTTGGGGATTGTAGTATCGACATAATATGTGTTAAAATGCTCTTCACTTTGAGTCTAGTCTTTATTTCTTATGTGATATGTTGGATTTTATAATTTTATGTGTGACAACAATATATACACATTTTAAAGTGCACCTGTCATGGAAACTTTTGTTAAAGTTATTGGGTGTTTTCTATAAGCAATTTAATAAGTATGGGGCTTTTCTACCATTTTTTAAAACGTTTGGGTTTTTGACGCAGCATGGATAAAAGGTTTGGAGCCTTCACTGCACTATTTACTTAAACTTTAGGATCTCAACCACGTACATATTTCTACTAAAATTAGTTGCAAAAAACAAGAACATTGGACATATACAGGCCACTATAGCAATTAGAACCGCATTTCATACCCATTAACGTAGGTTACACTATTAGCAAAGGGAGATTATAGATCCAACACAACCCCCAAAACCCCAACACAGATTTAATTGTCGATCAACTTTACACCCATTTCATAGACAAAACCACAAAATCAAATCTTCCACACACTAACTCCATTCAAATAGAGTTCCCTAATTTAGCTTCCATCCTTAGCCCGATCGAGGGATATTAGGTATCAACTCTTGATCTCTAACGCATTGGGAGATCTCACCAAACAAAGAATGTATAGCATTACAGATCCATTCCGCATGGATAGGTAAGAAATCATCTGTCCTGATTTAAATTAGTCCATGATGCCTTCATCCGACCAGGGGTTCCACAATTGCAAATTAGAATCTCCATTTCTTGTACCTTCAATTCAATATGCTGATGAAGAGTGAGAAACCGACAATTTCTTAGTGTAGTATTCTACTACATTTAGAGGGAAATAAACAGTAACTTATTTGGAGGTTAGTGTCTTAAGTTTGTGGACGAATTTACCCTCCTCTATTTTGGTAAAAAGTGGTCAATCTTTTTTTGGGTGGTCAACCGATTGACGTTTGGATGGAAACTGTCCAAAAACGCCTCTATAATGTTTGAAAAGATGAGGAGTGACAGCTGCTGCAATTATTTGCCTCAATACCCCGGTTGAGTCCAGCGGTGCAAAGGATAGGAGTGATGTTATCTCACGCCTTGCTGGCGCCGCGGCATGGGGATTCGAGTTCTGAGACATGAAATTGGATTCTTTGTAGGCGCAGTGTACATGCAGCTCTTATTCCCTGACCTCTTGGGGCATATCTCGCGATTTACCTCCTTCACAAAACTCTAGAGATGGAGCAGTGGGGGCTTTCAAGGTTGGAGTTCAACTTTTATTTTTATTTTTTTTGTTTTGTCTTGTTTTGTTTTTTTTTTTAACAAAGCTAGCCCAAGAATCTTAAAATCCCTTTATTTTCTCTCTCCAAATCGTCCTTGTTCTCTTTTTCCATCATTGTTTCACAAGCAATGGAATGATTAGTTATTTACCATCACAACTCAACAAGAATCTCACCTGAAACGCATTATTTTCATTTATATGTTTTTTTCTTTCTTTCTTTCTTTCCCTTTTTTTTTTTTTTGGTTGTGTGTATGCTGGGAAAAATAAACGTTTTTATTGACGTTAGATGTACAAACGAGTCCTGTCCAATTATAAGTACTAGAGATAAAACATGTTTAGTCTTTGTTTGGTGGAGATTAAATTTATATTTTTAGCAGATTTTGATGAATGTTAACGAAATATGTGCTTAAACAATTGCGAATTTCATGAAATACGTAGTTAAAATTAATTATTGACTTTAACTAAAATAGGCTCAGTGTGAATCAGACAGTTAAACAGACTTAGAAAAGCTGTCTGGCTGCAAGTCTGACCAGAAAATAAATATAAATTTTAAACATGCATGAATGAATAAGTTTTCATTTTTCTTTTTTGAAGACCAAGGGATTGTCATATGGGCAGGAAGTAACATTCCCTTTTTACTTTATTAATTTCTAATCACATCATTGTCTTGACTTAATTTCTACTAATAAAGCTTTATTTGATTTCAACTACTAGAAAAATGACAATTAACTATGAAAATTTTCATCAATAAGTTAATTTTTGTTGTTAATGACAATACTGAATTATAAAGATATATTTTTTTTTTGTTAAATAAAGATAAGAAATATTAACAATGACATTGTGAGCTTGTAGTTTACGGTCAATTTTGTTGTTAACGAATAAGTAAATACTCGTTTTTTGAAACATAGACATTTGGTTGTTAAAATTCAAATTAACGGCGAAATGTAAAAACTATTAATAACAAAAACTTCGTGGTTGGATGGGTTAGTTCTTCTACGATGAGCCAACTATGCTCCTGTTTGGTCCCCATTAAATTTCATTACATTACATTAAATTCTATTCAATTTTTCTCTCTCCTACTTTCAACCACACAATCTTTCATAAAATAATATTATACGTAAATCGAAAATTTTTATTTCTTTTTCAACCATTCATTTAAAAAAAAAAAAAACTATTCTACCTATTTCTATTTTTAGAAAATGGGGGCCAAACGGGGGCTATATACAAATGTGTTTTTTGTCATGTAAATAAAGATTAAAAAAATCCAATATTATGTAGTTAATTATGTACTGACTCAGTGACGAACGCAGACATTTAGAGTTAGTGGGGTACAGTCAAATTTATTAAAAAGTTACAAAAAAAAAAAAATTATATATTCTACAAAAACATATACATATGATCACTATCATAGATTCATAAATCTCATATATATGAAATAACAATTCCCAAAGAATTTCAAACAATCTTACATATATGGTGAATAACAATTTTTAAAGAATTTTCAAATTAAATATCACAAATGACAAAATAATTTCAACTCTCACTCTCAGTTGTTCGGTTATTGTTGGAATTCTATTTTTGGTTCTTATTTAAAAAAAAGAAAAGAAAAGAAAAGAAAACACCAACTTGAAGCTGGTGGGTCAAGTGACCCACTAAGGTTCGCTAATGGCACTGTGGAGAATCAATGTGAACTTTTCTTGATGAATGGGATATTTTAATTGCTATCTGCTGCCTGCAGAGTAAAAGAATATATGCAGTTTTCATCTTTCTTGTCAACACGCTTATTATTCTGTTTCTGTGACTTTTGGGAAGCAATATTTTTAGCAGGCGATTAATCATTAGAAGAATCTATTCTTTTGGGTTAGAAAATTTTGCATTTTGTTGAAGTTATCATTGATCTAACATATTCTTCTTGTATCTTCCCTTAACAGAGTAATTTCACTTTTCTTCAAAGGAAGAATCAGATTCTCTTTCCCTTTGATCAAATTTAAACACTTGGTTACATGCGGAGATTACTGACTTGACTAATCGAGTGTTTATTTTTTCTTAGAAGTTATATAGCATAGGATTCTCACATGTCGATTCTATCTGTGATTCACAAAGTAAGTTGAAGAGTTCACGAGAATCTATCATGAGAATATCGAACAAGTAACAAGAGGGGTAGAGTAGACTTAAACAAATGTGGTGATGCGTAAGAATCTAGTTATTTTAGATCTTTCAGTCGAAGTAAGTGGTAGAAAAGAATTCATGTAGCCGATAAGCTTACTTCGTCATCGTTCCAATGCTTTCAAAAACAGATAATGGCAGCATAGAAAAACAGAAGAAATAAATCACCCCTCTATCTATCGATGAGAACACATGTCAAGAAGCGTCTTCCTCCCTTCAACTATTTCATCAAACAAGTCATCAAGTTGCCCTATTATGCTCTCAGTCCCACATTTCAGCACTGTAAAGCAACTCTTCAAGTTTTCAACCTTTTCGTGCATATTATCAAATTCCAATTCCTCGTACTCAACAACTCTCTCCATTTCCACTTTCAGCTCCTCCATTGCAAATCTTGCTCTTCGAAACTCGTACACAAGAACTCCCGGCTGTCCTCCTGTATGATTTATGGCCGCAGACGCCACTCTTTGAAGCAACGTTGCAGTCGAAACCATGAAGCCTGAACCGAATAGGATATTTCCTTCGTTGTCCCATTGGCAAAAACTTGTTTCCGGCCAATAGTATACGAGGCCGCCGAGTAAGATCACCAGAAGAACTGAGTTTAGGTTCCTCATTGCATAAAGAACACCTCCAAAACCATTAATCTTGTTGAACTTTGATTCTATTGAGACATTCTGCTCGAATCTCAGAGATAGAGTTTGCATTCTTGTTTCTAGTAAGGTCTTGTTTTCCTCTTCCAGTGCCAATATTTCTCTTTGGCTACCATAGATCGCCCGAATTACCTGTGACTCGAGCAAAGTTCGGAATAAGTCTTTACCTGTTTGGTACAGAATACTAGACAACAATGAACAATAATCGTGTCTAGAATATCAATACCAAAGACGAAAATGATTTATTTGATACTAGTAATTTTTAGACTTGCTTTTTTTATTTCTCACCCTCGACCTCTTCTTAGCTTACCCTTCTCAACCATGACTTCCAAACATATCGAACCAAGTTGAGGAATAAGATCGAGTTTTTCAAGCAAGAGGCCCCAATACTCTTTCATTCGGGTTTTGAAAAAGAAAATCGATCCAAACCCAAACCCAAAGCCAAACTATTCGAGATATATTTGATACAAGGTACTAGAAATTACTCGCCGTAGTAATGTCCAATAAACTAAACATGTCACCAGGATTTTGAACTAAACCCAATAACTATTCCTACATGTTTTTTATCTAATACTAGAAAAATAAACAAGATTTTAACTTTTTTCTTTGGAAATCCAGTTTAGTGCTGTCGAGAATTACCATTACCAAACATCCCCTCAATGTTTTTATCTTGCAATACTAACCTGACTGGAAAGTTGAGCATTGAAAACCTGATGCTGATCAATCAAAGAAGCTACATTAATACCAGCTGAGTAGAAATTCTCCATTGACGATACCCTGGATTTTAGCTCATGACAGGCTTCCCAGAGCCTTGAGCTTTCGTCCATGTATTCATCAAGCCATTTTTCTCCAACAGGCAATTGTAACCTTTGAACCAAAACCGTTAACTGGGAATGGAAAGATCGAAGGGTTGATAGAACATGTTGAAGAAAATTGATTGACATGAAATTCTCAGAAAGGAACAAAGTGTCAAGATTATCAACTTCTTTTGTGAGGAAGTTGTAGAAACCACTGACTGAGGTAGCAGTAGATGAAGAATGACTCATCATGGGAGATAAGAAAAGGATTGATATGTTAGTAGGAAAAGGTGAAATATATATTTCCATGACAGTCAAATTTGCATCTGAATCCTCAATCTCTACTCTCAAAGTGAGAGCAGCTTTTAGAAAAATAAAGAATGAGAATGTTTTGAGTCGACGAAGAATTAGGAGGATGGACGAATGAATTTTTCTATTCATACATCGAGATTAACACTCCGGTGTACAAACCCTCTCACAAGAGGGGAGCCCACGACGAATAAAAAAATCATGGGCCCCCTCTTGTGAGAGGGTTTGTATACCGGGGTGTACATATAGCATGTCTCTGGATGAATTGGCACAAAAATATTAATTAACATAAATATTGACCAAAACCTTTCCATTTTACATTGTTCTCAATTAAGATTTTAATAGATTTTAAAAAATTATAAATTATAATGAATTTCGTGATTTTGAATAGATTTTCGCAAATTTCATAAGAATCTGATAAAAAATGGCGAAATTTCAAAAGATTTTGTTATATGTATTTTTAAGCTTAAGATTCATCTAAATCTTTTAAAATCTCCCTATGAATAATTTTTTTATAAAACCACCAATTATTGAGGATATCTAAATTTTAGAAGATTTTATTCAAATTCATTAAAATCTCAGTAGGGAAACCTAAATTTTAATGATTTTTATTAAAATCTGAATTGGAACACATAAATTTGGAAGAATATAATCCTATACCTGAGGTTGTAATTCATGTATGGAAAAGCTATACAACTTGTGTTTCTTGTTGTCTCAACTCTATTAAAAGCTACATATATATTTCATTAAATTCCAAGGAGGTGAATGAATATGTCAAAGAGTTTGGATTTCTGTTGGGAGCAATTATGTGTGTTCCCTTATATAGTGGAGGGGATGATTGAGATTCGACTATTTGAATTATTTAATAAGCATGAATGAGAG